ATGCTCACAAAGATATGGAAATGGTCAGAGAGCTGTAGATCCTATACAGGTACACAACTGACACACGCGTCTGAAGTACGGGTAACTATCCAGTCAGAGTGTGTCCACCTCTGTGGCTTGCCTCGGACACAAGTTTACACAGTTGTGGACTTCAAGGAGATTAATTATTCCTTTAGTGTTCATGGTTATCCTTGTTGTCAAAATGGAAATTGAAGTCGCCTGCAATGATAATAGCTACTTCGTCAACTTATCCAATCTGTGCCGAGACGGTGCCGAGCAGTAATTGCTGCCAATGGTGGCCATACAAAGAACTGACTTTGACGCCATCTTGTGGACTCAGAGACACAACAGTAAAGGCTTTGTCTATAGAAGTTTGAATTTTCACCTTTTAACCATTGGGATTACATGAAATAATAGCTCTTATACTAATGCAAGAAATTCTTCTAAAAATGGGGGCGGTGGGGTAGCCTAGTGGTTAAAGCGTCCGCTCGTCACGCTGAAGGCCGGGTTCGAATCCCACATGGGTACAATGTGTGAAGCCCATTTCAGGTGTCCCCCGCCGTGATGTTGCTGGAATATTGCTAAAAGCGGCGTAAAACTAAACTCAGTCAGTCTAAAAAATGGCTTGTGCGTTTCTTTTTTTTGAAGAGCATATTTATGGGTCGCAGTTTCATGTAAAGACCTCTTCTATAGTTGATAAACAGGGTAAAAAGTATATTCCTTTTTCATATTGTACTAGTTCTATACAAAATATATGCCTTGTGGAGAAATGGGGGTTTTATTCATCATTATAACTTTTAGAGCTAAAACTGACTTCTTAATGTAAATTTAAGACTAAAATCAAACTGAGAAGATCTGGTGACTTACAGCATATGAGAAATATATTCCGTAACCAAATATGCATGGTATTTGATATTAAAACCATTGTTTTGTTCCGTGTTTTTGCAACTTTTTTCAGTTCACGGTTAAATTTTGGTGGCCATCTTGGATTTTGAGCTAAAAATAGCTTTCGCATCAATATTCAGATTGGAACCAAACATTTTTTTAAACTCCTTTAACATATAAACACAAAAGAACATATGATTTGCTTTCATCAAAAAACTTCCACGGAATCCCATAAGCTCCTTGACTAGTCTGGTAGGATGGGTACAGCATTCAAGTCCCGTGGAAGTTTTGTGATGAAAGCAAGACATTGTGTTTTTTGTATTCATCAGACATGCTAGTTAAATAAAAAGTTTGGTTCCAAGTTGAAATATGGTGCAAATAGTACTTTTGAGCACTGTACAAAGTGGTTGTGGAAAAGGTTGCTAAAAGGTCAGAAGGTCATAATGGGAGAGTTGAATATTTAAAGTTTGAGGTTATTAACTTTATCCAAGTGTGTTTTTCTATTTCATGAAATATTTTATTAAAAGAAAACCCCAAAATATAATTTTTTTAATTAAAAAAATATATATAATGAACACTCCCTCTCTCAAAATGGCAGCTAGCAGACGAATTTAAGCAGGTGTAGGTTTTGTGCATTTTGTAAGTATATGATTGCTTCATTTCATCAACTCAATGTAACTCAAGTTATTAAAGAACAGTTATGTATGAAACAAAAAAGAAGAGATGTTTATTTTTGTTTGGTGAGACTGTCAGTAAGGGAGCAGTCCTTATTTCAAAATGTTGTATGTCAATATCAGATTATGATTTATCAATTTCTTATTATTACGCTTGAGTTCTTTGAAAATAGATAAGAATATAATGAAATGATGGGGCGAAAACATTATTTTCTGCTTCACACTCTCTCAATTAAATCCCTTGAAATAATTTTCAAGTCATCAGATGGAATAACTTTCTAAAATGGTTATAATCTTTGAAAAAAAAAGAAAAAAATTAATCAGCAGGATAGGAGAAGACACGGTGTCCATATTTAGCTTGTTTGACTTTGGGGATAACAAGAAGGTGTTGATTCCCTGATCTGAGAGATCTAGATGGTGCATAAGCCTGAAGAAGATCTGAGAGTTAGACTGGAGCCGTGTTAGTCATGCACTGGTATGCGAGACATAATAGTTTGAAGGAGATTCTTTGTTTCACGGGCAGCCAATGAAGGTCCTTTAGAGTTGGTGTGATGTGCTTTTTTCTGGTGATCTGGGAGGTAATGCGAGCAGCTAAATTCTGTATGCATTGGAGTTGGTCAGTGACACAAGATGGAGATCCGGCCAAAAGGCTGTTACAGTAGTCCATACGAGATGTGACTAGGCTGAGGCAGAGAGTTTTTGAGGCATCTTTGGTAAGAACGGTCTGGCCTTGCTGATATTGTGGAGATGGGAGTAGCAAGTTTTAGTAACATACTTGACGTGTACTGTCATACTTAGATCTTGATCGATGACAACACCCAGACCCTTGACAGTGGAAGAAAGAGGAATGGTTGCTCCACAGACACACACACTAGTAATGTCACACTGCTTACGTTTTCCAGCCTGTCCCAGAAGAATGGACTGTGTTTTCTCTTAATTTAATTTCAAGGCATTTGATGACATCAATGAATATCTTCTGGCAACAGTCTGATGTCTGACAGAGAGACGCTCTATAGCTGACTCTGTGTTTGGTTGAAATAACTTCCACAGCTGCATGTCATCTGCGTAGAAGTGGTCAAGATTAAGGTTTGCTACAACAGAGCCAAGTGGAAGAGTATAGAGGGTGAAGAGGATCGGACCAAGCACGGATCCTTGAGGGACTCCGCACTCAAGCCTAGATGCGGTTGACACAGACTCACCAACAACAACGGTTTGAGTCCTGTCCTGTAGATAAGATGCCAGCCAGGATAAAGCTGAATCCAAGTTCTGTATCAAGTCTTTTGAGGAGTTTCTGGTGATCAATCGTGTCAAAGGCACTGCTTAGGCCAAGTAATGTGAGCAGGGCCACTTTTCCTGTGTCAATACCACATCGTAGGTCATTGGGGATCTTCAGCAGAGCCGTCTCTGTGCTGTGGTGTGCTCTGCAGGCTGATAGGAACACCTCATATAGGTTATGCCAGGAAAGGTTGCCCATGAGACGACTGGAGACTGCACGTTCAATGAGTTTGCATCTAAATGCTAAGTTTGAAACAGGCCTGTAGTTTTTTTGGATCCTCCTAATCAAGGCTTGATTTCTTCAGATGTGGCCTAACTAGAGCTGACTTGAGTACACTTGGGACATAACCAGATGAAGTAGAAGAGTTAATAATCATAACTAATGTTGGTAAATATCAGTGAAACTATCAATATGAGTAAGAGGCGTGCCATCAAACATTTTTGGAGGAATATCAGCTTCATTCACAGCCGCAGAAGACAAAATCTTGTCCTGAATGTTCTTGGATCTTTTTGTAGAAATAATCCGAAAATGTCTGTGCTATTACTTCATTGTCATCAGATGTCGGAAGTGTCGATTCAAAGTGTTTACTCAAGATACTGAACAAAAGTTTGAACAGCAACTTTGGACTTGACTCGTTGGCTTCAATCTTAGAATTGAGATGTTGATTTGTCTGATGACCGTTGTTGAGTGATTTTGGGCTGAAATATACATTTGGCGATGAATCTCCAGGAAAGATTGTTTTCCATCTGCGTTCTGCTTTCCTCTAGTCTTTTTTCGCTTGTCGAACTTCAGGTGTGAAGTCCCAAGCAGATGTTTTAGTGACTGGTATGACTCTGTCCTTAACTGGTGCATGTTTGTCTATATAGCAGCTCAGATAGAACTCTATTGTATAGCAGAACGAGACACTCAGCATCAGATGGTGGCTAAGTATAAGGTCTTAGTTTACCAAATTGTCTTTAAAAGTATCCATATACAGAAAGCCCATGTTCCTACAGCGAGTAATCTTCACATTTGGACTGGGTATTGAGAGGTCCATGCTCACAAAGATATGGAAATGGTCAGAGAGCTGTAGATCCTATACAGGTACACAACTGACACACACGCGTCTGAAGTACGGGTAACTATCCAGTCAGAGTGTGTCCACCTCTGTGGCTTGCCTCGGACACAAGTTTACACAGTTGTGGACTTCAAGGAGATTAATTATTCCTTTAGTGTTCATGGTTATCCTTGTTGTCAAAATGGAAATTGAAGTCGCCTGCAATGATAATAGCTACTTCGTCAACTTTATCCAATCTGTGCCGAGACGGTGCCGAGCAGTAATTGCTGCCAATGGTGGCCATACAAAGAACTGACTTTGACGCCATCTTGTGGACTCAGAGACACAACAGTAAAGGCTTTGTCTATAGAAGTTTGAATTTTCACCTTTTAACCATTGGGATTACATGAAATAATAGCTCTTATACTAATGCAAAAATTCTTCTAAAAAATGGGGCGGTGGGGTAGCCTAGTGGTTAAAGCGTCCGCTCGTCACGCTGAAGGCCCGGGTTCGAATCCCCACATGGGTACAATGTGTGAAGCCCATTTCAGGTGTCCCCGCCGTGATGTTGCTTGGAATATTGCTAAAAGCGGCGTAAAACTAAACTCAGTCAGTCTAAAAATGAAGGCTTTGCGTTTCTTCTTTTTTGAAGAGCATATTTATGGGTCGCAGTTTCATGTAAAGACCTCTTCTATAGTTGATAAACAGGGTAAAAGTATATTCCTTTTCATATTGATCAATATTCAGATGGAACCAAACATTTTTTAAACTCCTTTAACATATAAACACAAAAGAACATATGATTTGCTTTCATCAAAAACTTCGTCCCATAAGAGAAAAGCACACCGCACTTAATTTGTCCTCAAATTTTGTCTTCTAAATAATTTGTTACCTTGACATACTGAATGTTCTGAAAAGGCATAATTATTTTTTGTTGAACGAAAACTATTTTGTTGAGAAAAAAACTAAAACAAAAACAAAACAGAATTTACCTATATACCTAGCTGGTTCCAGTTTATAAAGACTTGTACAACCAAACATTTGCACTTTCACACAAGGTGAGCTATGTAGCCACTAAGTCTATTTCTGCTCACTAATAACAATAGCTAATTGGTTAAGCTGGTAATACCACTTGTCAACAACCCACACCAAGAGTCGCACATACAGACAGTTTTTGCCGTCTTCATGGACTTTTTCTCATCACGCTAGCCCGAGGGCAGCAACTTTAATCTCCCAACGCCTCCCTGCCACATGTCTACAACGCACAACAGGATCCCGCAGGTAGCTATAGCTGGATACTTGCTCATACAGCATGGGGTCTCCACGGACCGCTATTGTCATCGGGGTGATCGGTTGCGCTGTCTGTCTTGGACTAGGGGTAGGCATTGGATATTTAACCTGGTCAGACCCCCGGCCGAAGATGATGACGCTATCCCTATTCCCATCCCCGATTATCAAAAGAGGTAAGATTGTTTGAAATGTTTTCGAGATGGACACGCCTCACGAGTTGAGTAGCGGGTCTGTCACATACAGTACACGTCGCTGGCCTGGATAACTATTAATATGGATAAAAGCAGAAAAATATATTCAACTCAGACAGTTACTTCATTTAGATGTATATCCTGTGCAATATTTGTAGAAAATTCTGACTTCTGATTGATTGTGACTCACTGACAACTTTAAATGCATTGTATTAATGCATATGGACTTTAGGAAAACAACCAGATCTCTCTAAACGGAATCGGGTATGCTTGTTTGTATATCCATTGATGGCAACTTCCTTATGTTTTTAATGATTTAGTGTTATGGATGGGTTGTGGAGACCTCCAGTACTGTGGTCTGTGTTTACGTGTGTCTAGGGATTGAAGAATGCATCCAGTCATTTAACCGATTCAAATTAATATTTATAAACGCCAAGTCAGAAAGGGCTAGCACACAGGTACGCCATGTCGTTTAACAGTTATACATAGCCTGACATAGTCATGTTAAACATTTTAACCGTCTTTGTGTGCTGGCTTGCTGTGTCCCAGTTTGTCGGACTGTTATCAACGTCTCTACCATGAAATGTACTTTGCTGTTCAGAAGCGTGGTAAATGTCACAACCTGCATTTGACAAGCCTTCCTCGCGAAGTTGTGAAACATTTATCACAAGTTACAAGGAAGTGATTCACAAAAACATTTCTTACATGCTGTAGACAACACTGGGGTATTTCAGACCTGGCGTTTAGAAGTTGGTAGTCGTGCAGGTCAGACTGCCGTAATATAACCCTGTACATAAATCATACAACTTGGGCGTTACCGCGTACATGTGTCATAACATTGTGAACTAACCGTGTACATGTACCATACAGACGTTAATTAATAGTGTTCGTGTATCTTACAGCTGTGATATAACCGTGGTACATGTATCATACAGCTGCTATATAACCGTGGTAAATGTATCATACAGCTGTGATATAACCGTGTACATGTATCATACAGCTGTGATATAACCGTGGTACATGTATCATACAGCTGCTATATAACCGTGGTACATGTATCATACAGCTGTGATATAACCGTGTACATGTATCATACAGCTGTGATATAACCGTGTACATGTATCATACAGCTGTGATATAACCGTGTAATGTATCATGCAACTGTGATATAACCGTGGAACCTGCATCATACAGGTGTGACACAACCAAATACATGTATCATACAGCTGTGATATAATCGTAGTACATGTATCATACAGCTGTGATATAATCGTGTACATGTATCATACAGCTGTGATATAACCGTGTACATGTATCATGCAGCTGTGATATAACCGTGTACATGTATCATGCAGCTGTGATATAATCGTGGTACATGTATCATACAGCTGTGATATAATCGTAGTACATGTATCATGCAGCTGTGATATAATCGTGATATATGTATCATACAGCTGTGATATAATCGTAGTACATGTATCATGCAGCTGTGATATAATCGTGGTACATGTATCATACAGCTATGCTCGAACCGTACACATGTATCATGCAGCTGCTATATAACCGTGGTAAATGTATCATACAGCTGTGATATAACCGTGTACATGTATCATACAGCTGTGACAAAACCGTGGTACATGTATCATACAGCTGCCATATAACCGTGGTACATGTATCATACAGCTGTGATATAACCGTGTACATGTATCATACAGCTGTGACATAACCGTGGTACATGTATCATACAGCTGTGATATAACCGTGGTACATGTATCATACAGCTGTGATATAACCGTGTACACGTATCATACAGCTGTGATATAACCGTGATACATGTATCATACAGCTGTGACATAACCGTGGTACATGTATCATACAGCTGTGATATAACCGTGGTACATGTATCATACAGCTGTGATAAAACCGTACATGTATCATACAGCTGCTATATAACCGTGGTACATGTATCATACAGCTGTGATATAACCGTGTACATGTATCATACAGCTGTGACAAAACCGTGGTACATGTATCATACAGCTGCCATATAACCGTGGTACATGTATCATACAGCTGTGATATAACCGTGTACATGTATCATACAGCTGTGACATAACCGTGGTACGTGTATCATATAGCTGCTATATAACCGTGGTACATGTATCATACAGCTGGAACATAACCGTGGTCCATGTATCACACAGCTGTGATATAACCGTGGTACATATCTCATACAGTTGTTGCATTTCATAATTTTGGGCCGTTTTAACACGTTTCCTTACCTTTGCGTGCTGTTTTCGCTTAAGTTTACATTCCTTTCAGAACGAAACATTTGTTTGTCTTTTTATCTACTCCAGGAACTGGTGAATCACAATGTTGTGCTTGCTGTATCAGTGAACTCACGCGTCAGTGATATGTCGTACTAGTATTGTTTTGCGATGGTGGTCAGATCTCGCTGACAAGATTTCTTTTAAAGCTAAATTTGATTAATATACTCAATAATATATTCATCTGAGATTTGGGTAAGTGATTGGCAGGGTTTGATTTCAGAGATGTGAAATTTTTGATGATGTTTGCACCCGATGGAGTCTTCTTCAACTCAAGATTATCGTTAGGTGGCCAACTGCGTAGATCGACGCTTATGATATCAGCCATTGGATTGTCTGGTGAAGACACGATTACTTACAGACCGCCGCCATAAAGCTGGAATACTGTGAAACACTACAAACACTACATCAGAATGATCCTGGTTACAAGTTACATGCTACACTGTGTATGTAGATTGAGATCTAACTGTACATACATGCACATGTGATAATCACATGCTGTAAGTCGAATTAATGTGGGTGCCGACTGGGTCCTACCTGGGACTGTAGGAAGTAATAATCACCAACACATTAGGGGCGCTGGGTTGGCCCAGTGGTTAAAGCGTTCAGCTGTCAGACCCGGGTTCGATTCCCCTCACGGATACAGTGTGTGAAGCATATTTCTGGTCTCTCCCGCCGGGATATTGCTGGAATATTGCTAAAAGCGGCTTACAAATATACTCAGTCACCCACCAGCACAGAATTAAATTCCATGATATCGTGTAATGTAACAACAAGTCAACTAATTTGTATTGTATAGCTAATCGTTTTCATAAATATCACTTTTCCCGCGTGACATGTGTTCTCTAAATTAACAGCAAATATGAACTGAGGTACGTAAAGGCACAGTGAAGGTTCAGTGTTGTCACACAAGCCGACATAAAGTAACCTGGTTACGTATTCTCCACGACATGTGTGCTCAACTGCACATGACTTTTAAGAAATTATTCATGACAAATCCTGACACCTCGATTTCCACATATAAGTATATACTGTTCTTCTACAAAAACTCCATTACCTTAACAACTGCACGGATACATCGTTACCTTGCTCGAAATGAAAAACAATTCACAAATACACTTTTCATAAAAACAATATTTATAGAATATTTTATATGACAACTTCAAGAGGAAGGAAAAGTACTACCGACAATCGTCACGACGTACCTGATTGTGTTGTATTTGCCTATATATGAAAGTAGCGCGTTCGTGTAAACAGACTTTCTCGTATGTATGTGTCTACTCGTTCTTTATGTTTCTATTTTCAGAAAGGTATGTTATTGCGTGGTGCGTTTACCTAGAGTGGTTCACGTGTGTTTGTGATTTGATTTATACAGCTATAACTACATGGAGAGATAGGTATAACGAATCATACGATTATTACGTCTACATATTCATCGCCCTTTCACAAAATGCTTTCTCCCTCCGACAGGGAGTTTTTTCGCCCTTCTGCAAATTTTGTCTGAAAACGTGTGCTTCTACTCTTGTCGAGCAAGTGTTTGACTGAGGTACAGGCGCCTGTAGAAAAACGAGGTTCCATACATCTTTGAAGTTTCTAAAATATTATACATATAAAATGATAACCATTCTCTCAAGCTGCTAACAAGTGACAAGACGACAGTTACCACTAAATAGTCCGTCCACAAAATTGGCGGGCATATGAAAGTATACTCCTAAAAATTGACCAAAAAAGGTGACAGATGTTAATGTAGCGTCTCGAGGTTGAAAGACTGCAAAATCAAATTTCAAAACAAATATGATACCTATATTCCGTTGAATACCCATTTCCTGTTTCATTAATAGCCCCCGTCAAACATGGGTGTTGTATTTTCCCTTTTTCCCCCTTAGTAATCTGTTTCACAGTCCCTGAACAGTGTTATTTTGCCCTTCCTCCCAACCCATCTTTCACTGGGGCGGTGGGGTTGTCTAGTGGTTAAAGTGTTCGCTCGTCACGCCGAAGGCCCGGGTTCGATTCCCCACATGGGTACAATGTGTGAGCCCATTTCTGGTGTCCCCCGCCGTGATATTGCTGGAATATTGCTAAAAGCGGCGTGAAACTAAACTCACTCACTCACTCACTCTCTTTCACGTAAATTGAAGCAAGTCTACATTTTCCTCAGGTTCATCAATCCAAAATTTCCTCTCTCATCTGGACTCTTTTTCAATAAAACATCGTGTTTTTATCAAAATTATACACTTTGAGACACCAAGCGTCAGTCTATCAGTTTATGAGTTCCTGTCCTTTGTATTTGAAAGTTCATCTTTATAGGTCTATACACGCTGTGATATTTACAAACGCAATTCCCCAAAACAATAGTGGTCAGTGTTGACCAAGGAAGGCATCCAGTATGGCCAGTGTGGTGGTCACGTTACTGGCCATGCGTACACTGCATCCGTTGATGTTTCAAGTTGATGATGTTGACACAAGGAATTGAGACTGTAGCTTTCGCCGCATACAGCATTTGCGGGATGTTTACTCTCGCGACAATCCTCTTGTGTCAGGCGGGACAGAATGAAAATACTAAATTTTCAAACGCGTGTCTATTTAACTTACCATCGTATGTATCTGGTAAACATGCGCTGTATCAGAATGTCCTTTGTAAACTTACAGTGTGTAGCGGTTTGCATAAACAAGTTACTGACACTACCCACAGATGGTGAATCGATATAGCGTGCCACGTCTCAGAGGCTCAGAAACAAGCATCACACTCATTGTTACATATTCATGTAAAGTAATTCTATCATATGTCTTTATGTTTTGCGTATATGAATGAATATTCATGAAGTTACATCCATGTATATCATTATTATCATGTGGTTGTACACGCAATGTACTCCGTTCTCGAGTAATCGGAATTTAATTTGAATTAAAGCTACGTCGGAGTTTAACAAGACCTTCTATATATATTGACGTACATAGGAAAATAGACAGCTGGTGTTTTGGGACTATTCCCATTAAAACCATAAATATTTTGCTAGCAATGTTGGAATTGGGTACAATATCTTTGGTGTTTTGGAACCACTTGCACAATGTTTGTGACAAGGCAGAATCAAAACACTTTTAAAATTACTGCTGTTTTAAAGAAAATATTTTACCAAAGAATCAGGTGAGTACTTTCTTTTGAACGTCAGTTTAGATTGAAATAATAATCACCGGGATTCGATTTTGTTTCTGATGAATGACAGCACCGAGAGGAACAAAACTGAGCTCGTTGCTGACAAAGATTGTTATACATGGTTTTATCTCAGGTATCAAGATATTTCCAAAACGATAACCAAACAAGGTATATTTTTGCAGTGCTAATAAAACATTGTTAAGGTTACAGATTACAGGTAAAGTTGCTGAAAAGATGGTACCAGCAAGGGTAATTTGCACTGTCGTCTATATTGAAGGAAGAAGGAAAAAACAACACATTCTACATGGCCGCCATCTTGAAGATGACGTTACGTCATTACCATTCAAGATGTTGTTACGGGAAGGAAGCAAAATACAGTCCCTGATAATTTGTTGGTTGTGTTTGTTGTTTCAGTTGCAACTCCAAATGTACTGAGGAGGCTAATGTAGCAGCATCATGCTCCCCCGAACTCCCCCGTCATTATGTGGCTAATCACCTGAACGGCCAAACCATCACCGTCGACGGGGTACTCGACGATGATGCTTGGAAGGAGGTACCTTGGACGGAAAACTTTATGGGTACGTCACGCTTTTTGACTGGTGGGTGTGACGTGACGCTATGTAGTCGGTGGGTGTCGCGTCTAGCTATATGACTGGTGGGTGTCACGTCACGCTATGTGGTCGGTGGGTGTCACGTCACACTATACGACTGGTGGGTGTCACGTCACGCTATGTGGTCGGTGGGTGTCACGTCACGCTACACGACTGGTGGATGTGTTTTGTCTGTGGTCGGTGGGTGTCTCGTCACACTATATGACTGGTGGGTGTTGCGTCACGCTACAAGACTGGTGGGTGTCACGTCACGCTATGTGGTCGATGGGTGTCACGTCACACTATATGACCGGTGGGTGTCACGTCACTCTATATGACCGGTGGGTGTCACGTCACGCTATGTGGTCGCTGGGTGTCACGTGACGCTGCGACACGCAAGGTGATCTGTGTTTTATGTGCATAATATATAAATGACTCATTTACTTCACAAAGTTTCTTTTAAGTATATGTCTCTCGTAGTCGTAAATAAAGCTGGAAAAGTGTCTAAAATGTAATGGAATTACTCAATGCTGTATATATGTATACATAATTTACAACTGCAATGTTGCTAGACATCCGGGGTCCTCAATTCCCAGCGCCCCCTGTTGAGACGAAGGTGAAACTCCGCTGGGACGACCAACTGCTGTATGTCGGCGCCTACTTGCAGGAACCTCACATCTGGGCAACAATGACAGAAAAAGACTCGCGAAGTAGGTAACAACACTAGACACAACCGACTGATTCCTGGGAAGAGAACAGCTGAAATAAGCTAATATCTTACAATTTCAGTAATTGAGGTTTTCGTGCATTTAAGTCAATCCTTCATTCTCATATATATGGCAGGAATATACAGGGTATATATGTTATCCTTTATCGGGGCGGTGGGGAAGCGTAGTGGTTAAAGCGTTCACCCCTCACGCCCAAGTCTAGGGTTCGATTTCACACATGAGTACAATGGGAAGCTCATTTCTGGTGTCCCCCGCCGTGTTATAGCTGAACTATTGGTAAAAGCGGCGTCAAATCAATCTCACCTACCCTTATCAGATACGCTCTCACGTGATTACAGTTCGCATCCTTCTCCTAAGTAACCACAGAGTGCTAAGGGAGGTAATAAGTTAAGATATGTTGTATTTTATTTAGACAGGAATACCAAACACATCCAAATGCAACGTCCCGCTTGTCCAGATCACATGCGGGTGTACTTTCTTCATTTGGAAGTGGGGCGGTGGGGTAGCCTAATGGTTAATGCGTTCGCTCGCCGCGCCGAAGACCCCAGTCCGATTCCCCTAATTGGTGGAATGTGTGAAGCACATTTCTGGTGTTCACCGTCGTGATATTGCTGGAAAATTGCTAAAACCGGCGTAAAACCAACTCACTCATTTAGAAGTATAACAGCCCCAACGCTACGTCGATACTGTAATAAGCCCGATGAATCGAGAGTGTTTATATACTAATGCGTTGTTTGATATAAACGCCATAGACTAAGTCGTTTAAATTGCCCTATTTATACTGTAAGATTTATGCTATGCTTTTACTGTCTCTCGTTAACTGCATATTGAGTGGCCCTGGCTGTTTTATGTTGCACATGTATTTTGAAGTGTTTAACTGTGGTGAGACTTCAGTGTATTTCGTAGAGGTTAAATTACATTTGTGACGTCATTCCATTGTCTGTTCGCTCCATTACTTTTCAGGAATGGAGCGATTTGTACCAGTTTTAAAATAAAACCTTCATTTTGTCACTTTGACATTTAATTTTGATAACAGAAATATTCCCAATACTTTGAATGTAATTTAAGTGGAAGGTAATATCCCCATTCCTTGTAGGGCCGAGGCACCTTGGCTCCATTATTTTAAGGAATGGAGAGTTACGAGGATATTACCCTACTTAAATTACATTCGAAGTATTGGGAATATTGCTGTTGTCAAAATTAAATGTCAAAATGACAAAATGAAGGTTTTATTTTGAAACTGGTACACATCGCTCCATTCCTGAAAAGTAATGGAGCGAACAGACAATGGAATGACGTCACAAATGTAATTTAACCGTAGGTCAGTCTGTCACGTTGCACACAGTAGTTGTCATTCGTGAACACTTAGGTTTGTTTCTTGACAAACATGCTGCTGAAACGTACAAAACCTACGTGACCAAACACATATATGTAATACAATACGTTTCTTTTTGAATTTCAGTATATCAAGAAAATGCATTTGAGGTAAGTCATATATTCAACGCTTCCGCTAGCCAATGTAGTGAATATTTAATCGAGTGAAATACGGAATTAGGCTGCGTTTCAAATTATTTAACTCATACACGTGTGTGTGTGTGCGTGTGTGCGTGCGTGCGTGTGTGCATGCGTAGCCATGACAAATAGACATTCTTTTATAGATTTGGTACTATGACACTGAGGTACCATGCCACAGTTTCAACATTGATACCACATAAACCAGGGTGCAGTTGTACAAAGCGATCTTAGGGCTAAGGTGATCGTAACTCCCATACCCTAACATAGACTTACGACTGCCGTAGCACCCAGGGTGCAGTTGTACAAAGCGATCTTAGGGCTAAGGTGATCGTAACTCCCATACCCTAACATAGACTTACGACTGCCGTAGCACCCAGGGTGCCGTTGTACAAAGCGATCTTAGGGCTAAGGAGATCGTAACTCCCATACCTTAACATAGACTTACGACTGCCGTAGCACCCAGGGTGCCGTTGTAAAAAGCGATCTTAGGGCTAAGGTGATCGTAACTTCCATACCTTAACATAGACTTAAAGACTGTCGTTGCGCTAAGGTTGTTTTGTACAACATCTGGCCGTGTGTTATCCCCTTAAAGCCGGACGCCAGGCAGGGTAACAAAAAGTACCATGCCTGGTTTGAGGCTGCCACACTCTATCCACTAGACCACGGAGGGAGTTATTAATGCAGTTAGTCCCATCACCGTCTACTGATGGTCGGAAAGCGTGACTCTAGTGGTCAATGTGGTTGTACCTCAGAGGCGTGGAAGGGGCGGTTGGGTAGCCTAGTGGTTAAAGCGTTGGCTTGTCACGCCGAAGACCCGGGTTCGATTCCCCACATGGGCACAATGTGTTAAGCCCATTTCTGGTGTCCCCCGCCGTGATATTGCTGGAATATTGCTAAAGCGGCGTAAAACTAAACTGAGTCAGTCAGAGGCGTGGATCACAAACAATGTTTCGTTCAGACTTGTAGGTGTATTCACTGTAATGTAATCTTTTTGACTATTATTGATCAAGGATCTTTGCTCTTTCAGGTGTTCTTTGATGTTGATAACAGTATGAGTATGTGAGTATCTTCTCAACAATATCCACAAAATGCGAAATCTGTGTGTCAATATTATTATTTACAAAGTTATTAAATCCACAATTATTACCAAACATGTGCCATTTATGTTACATGCTGGTGCTGCCGGTAGGCCAGAATATATCTTTTCGCGAACACCGGGTGTCATTACATTTTCAGTGATCCATTCACATAATTTTCACCGCCATTTTGCCTTTTGCGGATGAATCTGTTTGTGGATGATCGAGTCTGTTTGTTCTCTAGCGTTTACGTTTATATTAAGGGGGCGGTGGGGTAGCCTAGTGGTTAAAGCGTCCGCTCGTGACACTGAAGACCCGGGTTCGAATCCCCACATGGGTACAATGTGTGAAGCCCATTTCAGGTGTCCCGCGCCGTGATGATGCTGGAATATTGCTAAAAGCGGCGTAAAACTAAACTCAGTCAGTCAGTCAGTTTATATTAAGGGCCAGGAATGACCATGATGGAAATCATGGCCATGTTGAATTATTTAGATCCATATTTAGAAATCAATTTACTGCAAAATAACACTCACATGTATTTCCTGGCCCGAATATATAAATATCATCGTTCGAGCTCATTCATGTGCCATGTATGTTATAGTTAGGAATAGGTCGGACCATCCATTAAGAATATCTTGCCTACTATACTTACATTGGTACAGGTACAAAGAGATAGAGATAAACGCCCTGGGCACCACCTGGGATCTCATACTATCACGGGTAAGTCGGGTCAAGTGGGTTGATGACTTGTTGTCAGCGATTTGTCCGGTAATGTCAGTCTTCAAAAGTGGTAATGCTGTCCGTATTTTTCTGTGTTGCCGATCTCCTGTCGAACCCCGCGGAATTTTCATTCAGGCGTGAAAAATAATAAATATATTTAAGTGTAATAAATGATGTCATAAAAATACTCTTACTCATGCACGCTAAAAAGAAACGGGTCAGCTCTAGCGTTTTCACCCATGTTTATCATATTTTAAAAATATTTCCAAAGCAAAGCGACTCGATCTACATCATACATGAATAAAGACAATTACCAAGTAACCTAAATTTTCAAAATCAATATAATTAGTTACACAATTAGTGAAAACCGATTGTTTATTTTAACAAAAATCCCAAGAGGGCCCGCCCTCAGGCTAGTTGAGTCTGGAGATGGGAAACACATAACAAATGACGGGGGCCTAATAATCCTTTCTGTTTTCGTTACACCTCCCTGATCAAAAATGTTTCATCAGGTTTGGACCAGTAAGATGGTGTTTTCCGCCCAGAAGGTCTCGGTTGCCTGGGATGGCGGGAATGTGATCTTAAGTACACCGTGAACTCTCACTGTGATGAGTCTCGTCCGTTTCATGAATCAATTTACTCAGTAACTGCATAAATCTCCACATTATAGAGTCATGTTTATCAGGAATATTTTATGGAAATTTGTCGGATAGGATGGTCAATATGGCCTAGAGAGTGTCTCCTTGAGGAATATTTGTAAATAAGAATAAAGAAAAAGGCTTAGTAAGATGACTGGTTTGGAGTTGTATCGTTTATTAAGATGATGTACAAGTGTGAAGAGTGTATTGTTTGACAATAGGTGGACAGGACACAGGGGCCAATAAAACACCATTATTCTTCACATAGATCCGGGTTAGAATTGGTCTTCGGCAATCCTTGCTTGTCGTTCGAGCCGACTAAACGGATCGGGTGATCAAACTCGCAGACTTGGTTGACACACGTCATCGTATCAAAACTGCGTAGATCGATGCTCGTAATGTTAATAACCTATTGTCTGGTCGAGACCCGGTTATTTACAAATAGCTGGAATAATTCTGATATGGCATTGAACACTACAGTCCGTTTGAGTCAGAAACGGACCGATGAATTGCCATTGTACAAAATTGCCACATATATAAATACACATGTTTATCATTTACTAATACCCAACAGCTTTCATATATTTGAAAATTTTTCTCCGCCCAAAAAGTTCTTTAAGAAACTATTAAACATTTTGACACAGTTCACTATTTGTTACGAGGGAGGAGTGCAGAGAAAGGGGCCATGCGATTCCCAATAAAGGCATATTGTGATGCCCTAATCTTTGTGGCCCTTGTCGTATTACTGCAGGAATATTGCAGGAAGATGTGTAAAATCGTCCTTACTCACTCCCTTTTCAGGCGTACATGGACGGAGGGACTGGGGAGGACTGGGAGGGCATCCAACAGAAGGGGGTGTACACGGATGGGGCGGTGAACAACGCCACGGTTCCAGGTACCTGACATCCCGGTCAAATATCTACAGTGCCTTGTCAATAACGGCGAGAAAACCATTCCGATAACTGTAGGAAATGTCTGTTAAAAAACGGAATCCGGAAACCGAATATATCATAAACATTTGTTGCGAACACCTGGTGTCATTACGGATTTCTATTGATCAATTCATGTAATGTCTACGGTTGTTTAGCCTTTTATGACTCATGGAATCTGTTTCAATGGATAATTGAGGCTGGTTATTCCCTGGCGTTGACGTTTTAACTATATTAATCAATATCAAATAGTGATGATAACAGGTTATAATTACTTGGTGTTCGCCACAAGGTGGACGTACCCCGCCTCACGGTGGTCACAAACACGTGCATGGTAAACCGAAAACATCCGGAATAATTTATGAAACAGACATAATTTTTGTCAATAACGTGTTTGGGGCGTTGGGGTAGCCTAGTGGTTAAAGCGTTAGCTCGTCGCCCCGAAGACCCGGGTTCGATTCCCCACATGGGTTCAATATGCAAAGCATATTTCTGGTGTCCCCCGCCGTGATATTGCTGGAATATTGCTAGAACCTTAGATATTAAAGATATAACATTATTATTTCCATGCATCAAGTTTATACCCATATACGGACGTTTCATGCTTGCTTCTGAACCTTCAACGGTTTCACCGTTTGGCAGCTACATTCTGGTCCATCGAGATGTCCTTCCCTTTCGCCAATCTGAGTCAGAACACCAGCAGATCAGACCGCCCCCCTGTGGACGGAGAAATGTGGTTTATGATCCTTGCAAGGTATTGTATTAGGAGTAGACGGAGAGAGATGTGGTTTATAATTCTTGCCAGGTAGTGTATTAAGTGTGGACGGAGAGATGTGGCTTATGATAGATATCCTTTTAGGGTAGCGCATTCACTAATACGATGACGACTGCGTTAATGAGTATGTGTTCGCATAGGGGCAAGGATGATGGTCAGTGGATGAGAATGTTTATTCTACCAGGACATGAAAAATGCTTGAGAATGATTGGTCAAAACAGGATTAAGATATTTTTTTGCCAAAGAATCATTTCCTCTAAATGAAAACCTTTTTACACACAAAAACAATCTCGCGTATCAATCTATATGTATAGCCTGCATATAACAATGCATATTACTTCCGATATCGAAACATTATCACATGTTTTGGGCAACTAATTCCAAAATAGTTTTACTCAATCAGTTAAACTGTGATATTTGATATCAATACGGTCAGGCACTACATATATTTCTTTAATAACTGCCATAACATCACTTAAAAGTTATTCAAATTTGATAGCTTATGACGGAGTTATCTTTTAGCAGCATAAAACCATCTGTCAGACATGGCCAGGGTGTGTTCTACAAAGTAACCTCAGCGCTACAACATTATGTTCTCATTATTGCTGATCCGATCTTGTTTTTCACTTGCTTCTTTTCACTAAAACATAAATAAAACGAAATAATCTCTTTGAAATATGTTTGTTTTCATAAAACTGCATTTCACATAAAGAGCGGGACTTCTGTCAGCAATGGTGTTAATAGATTATAATATCTGACTCTTTCCAGGCCCAGATATGACGTGGAAGCGCTAACAAACGGGTCTTATCAACAGGTGGGTGTAGAATGTACATCCACGCTCTTTATGGGAATAAGATGAGACAGATATAGACATCTGTATACAGTAGCGCATACCCCGAAAGCTACAAACTGTGTTTTTCAAACCCTTTTGGGTTTTAGACGAATATTACACAAGTTTCATACTGTACATGATTTTGTTGCCTGTACAGATTGGGCACCTCTAAATGTATGGAATTACTGTATGTTTGTATTGACCTACAGAAACCCGGAACTGAAGCCTCTTGGTACTCATGGAACCCGACGGGAGCCGTCAATCTGCATCTACCAAGCAAGTAGGTGGTGGTCCTTGTAGAACTCATCCTCCACAATACAGGGTGTTTAATGTTAGGTGTGGTCCTTGTAGAACTCATCCTCCACAATACAGGGTGTTTAATGTTACTATTAGGTGGTGATCCTTGTAGAACTCATCCTCCACAATACAGGGTGTTTAATGTTAGGTGTGGTCCTTGTAGAACTCATCCTCCACAATACAGGGTGTTTAATGTTAGGTGGTGGTCCTTGTAGAACTCATCCTCCACAATACAGGGTGTTTAATGTTAGGTGGTGATCCTTGTAGAACTCATCCTCCACAATACAGGGTGTTTAATGTTAGGTGTGGTCCTTGTAGAACTCATCCTCCACAATACAGGGTGTTTAATGTTAGGTGGTGATCCTTGTAGAACTCATCCTCCACAATACAGGGTGTTTAATACAGGGTGGTTACATGTTAGGTGTGGTCCATCCTCCACAATACAGGGTGTAGAACTCATCCTCCACAATACAGGGTGTTTAATGTTAGGTGGTGGTCCTTGTAGAACTCATGCCTCCACACAATACAGGTGTGCTTAATGTCAGGTGATGATCCCTTGTAGAACTCATCCTCCACAATACAGGGTGTTTAATGTTAGGTGTGGTTCTTGTAGAACTCACCCTCCGCAATACAGAGTGTTTGATGTTAGGTGGTGGTCCTTGTAGAACTCATCCTCGACAATACAGGGTGTATGATGTTCCTGCTGCCACTGTAGATGTACAAAGAAAGCAGGTGGTGATCTTTGTAAACCCCATCCTCTACAAACCAGGGTATTTATTCTCCTCCCATGCAGCATAAACCGGTCATGCTAGAGTTGAGATATTACTCTGAGTATTCTCTGTGTGGGACAAGCTGACAGTCGCTGCTTTTGGTCGGTCACCAATAACGGACAGCTGTATTTCACGTGATCAAACACTGCACGACAAACAGCAGCTGAGCTACTTTCTGAAGGGGTTCGGTCTGTTGCATGGTAACGTCTCTTTGCGTAGCTTTAAGTGGGTATAAAAGCTACCTCCTCGCCGAAATTTCCCGTCATGCTTTAGTTTAAGTGCTCCTTTGTGAGTCACCTATTTCATACAGTCGGCCATATATACATTTATTACGTACGAGGGCGAAAATATCGGGGTTAATATTTTTCATACGATGCCCTAGGGCAAAATATCCCTTTGTCATGGTGAGGTGACGTCATGAACAATGCTATGACGTCACGTTTCTTCTATGACCTCAAAACCTCAAAAACCTTATGACCTCAAAACTGTTCAAGTCCAAACTTAAAACCTACTTCTTCCAGCAGTATCTCCCTTAATGTGCTCTAGTATCACTTCTGTACATATGTACATACTTGACACTGTAGCGCCTTGAGCATGTCTGTCGAGGTGGATTGGGCGCACATATACATATGCATTATTATTATCATCATTATTATGACGTTGCGTTCTACATAGGCGACGGCATGTAGCTAGCCTATGTTTGAAAGTAGATTTGGGTGTATTTTTCTCAATTTGACGACTTCGGTAATAAACAAATTACTTTAGCATAGCATGGGGACTTACACAAATACTTCGAGTTATCCGAGATTCGACAAAACCGTAAAGTGATGACTACAGAAGGAATACGCTGGCACAAATTTTCACTTCGAGACAACCGGACGTTCGGCTCAACAACGTTCCATACAACGGTGTTTGACTGTATGACTAAGGATACATTCTACTGGACAAAGCTATTCCCCTGTAGTAATATTTGTTCTCTTTTGTTTCAACACGACATATTTGACCAGGAACACAGTCAAACAGCCCCCTCAACTAACTACTGCTAACGTGACGGTATTAGCAGAGCCTGACAACCTTTAACAAAATTCAAATCCTGCCATCACGTATAAGAGCTTCGGACATTCTTTCCTAACAAAATGTATTTCAACTACAGATGGGGGCTCCTGTTCTTTGAGACTGACGCTCCGAGCGGACAGTCCAAGCCGGTGGTGGACAGCAAGCGATGGGTCACGTACCAGGCACTGTTTGATGTCTTCAATGCCCTGAAGGTGACGGGGCTGTCTAAATTCCTTAATACATTGTTGTACTGCCTATCTGTGTGGTTGGAGTGTGGTGTTGTTCTTGTTGGCAGTTATCAAGTCCTAGTACTGACTAGTTGAATAATCAGACGTGAAGATCCGGTTAGAATTAGTCTTCAGCAACAAATGACTGTCGTAAGAGGCGACTAACGGGATCCAGTGGTCGGAGGGGAGATCGGGTGAACTGACTCTCGCTGACTCTCCCAGGTTCCCTTTGACACCCCCCCCCTATATAAATATTGATCGGTCACGTATTTTATTGGCATATTTTATGTAGAAGCCATGTCGTGTAACTACAAATGGTCACCATGTATCCATTAATGTAGGAACATGTGTTTATATACGTCGTTACAGTCAGATATTATTCCAAAACATGCACATGCATACGATGAAAGCGTCACCATGCTTGGGCTAATTCTTACCGTACTGTCTCAAATAACCAACTATCCAGTCATGTGAATATGAGTCATTTATATGAGTCACAGCTGTAATATGTTGCCAAATTATATTTGCACAGAATCAATGTGTAGGATGATTCATGCATCGTTCATAACCCCCAAGGTCAATATATTTCAGTTGGCTCGTCACGCCGAAGATCCGGGTTCGAATCCCCACATGGGCACAATGTGTGAAGCCCATTTATGGTGTCCCCCGCCGTGATATTGCTGGAATATTGCTAAAAGCGGCGTAAAACCCAACTCACTCACTCACTCACTCAATATATTTCAGTAGAGGCGGCGATAAGGGTGTCGAATTTACCATTTCATCAGAGCATAGTTGCCATACCTAATCGACATAGCATAATGTTGTTGTTTTTTTCAAATTGTACTATTTGTATACCTTTCTCCGATTTCTGACTTTTACATAACCCCCAAAATACTTTAAAAACCCACGACACAATATATATACTACACAAACACATTTAAGTAATTAAATGTATAGACCCCACAAAAAACCCCACAAAACCAAAAACAAACAAACAAAAAAAACCCCCAAAAATATAACAAAAAAACAACAAAAACAAACAAAAAAACCCACAATAAATGATACCTACCTGTAAAGCCAAACCACGAGGACAAATGTGTAGTTATATACTTTCACACATTTTCATAGAGATGTATAAATTTGCCAGGTTTTGACAGACATGGCAGAGGTCACGGTAGTAATGCTACTGTTCTGCATGTTCCAGTCGTTCAAGGCGGAGAGAGGGACCTACGTCGACGTACTTACTGAACTTGACCTCCCTCTCTACGTCACCAGCAACACCTGTCTCACCACCGTCAACGTCACCCTCGCCGGCGACGGATTCAGCGTTACCATTGAATCGAAGAAGGAGCCTGGGGTCAAAGGCCGTATCAATCAGAACAGATATGTGACGTTTTCCAGCGATTGAAGAAGGTGTCTCCCGTCCAGCATACTGAATGATAGCAAAATAGTTCTTGATTATTCCGTCTTGGTATGCTTCTCAAGATAAAATAACTTGTTAGTTGTCCTGATGATGTAGCTAGAATTCGATTAAATAACAGGCCAAAACATTGTTAAAGGAACAGTGTTGTCCGGCACAAATGTCTTAGCAAGTTTAAATCACGATTTGTTTCCTGTACACTTTTAAATGTTTCAACATTTTTTAAATTTCATCCTTTTTCTATCATGCTAATTACACAGAAGCAATGTCTCCGTCTCGAATCTTATTAACATCGTATCTGAGTTATCACTGCAGTTAGGGGCGGTGGGGTAGCCTAGTGGTTAAAGCGTTCGCTCGTCACGCGGAAGACCCAGGTTCGATTCACCACATGGGTGCAATGTGTGAAGCCCATTTCTGGGGTCCCCCGCCGTCATATTGCTGGAATATTCTTTAAAAGCGGCGTAAAAATAAACTCACTCAATCACTCTCACTGCAGCTACCATCGAATAACAAAAGAAACTACCAGCCCCGGGGAATTGATCAAGATCAGTGTCCCTTTAATCATTTAGTGTATATGTAAATTAATTTGATTTTACTGAGATTGCCCCGTCTCAAAGTGGGCCCTTACTACATGTTCAAGATGGATAATCTAGAACTGACTATAAGGAATATTTCCCTTGTATTTATTTTTTTCTTGAACAGTCTATACATATATATTCTCAGCAAACATTCCAAATACGTCAAAGTTTTGTAGGTCTACATTCAAATATGACGTGTATTTTTTACAATATACTTAATTTAATACACAAATTTGAATGCAATCATGGATTATTAAGACATCTCTAACGATGGGTGTTGTTCAATTCTGCCACGGTGTCTGTGTCATGTGTGTCTGTCTGTGGCGTCATGAACGTATGACACATCTACATATACAACATGTCTCAACGTACGACCTTGTCTTAATGATAGCGAGTACAATGACAAGAAACACTTAATCACTTTTACAGCTTGACACTTTGTAATGCGCCATAACCGGTTGTTCTTGTCACTCAAGAACGTTAATGTTGGTTGTGAACTCTGTAGATAGGACACATGTCTAGACTTGAGTTGGACTCCTTTTGTTTTGTTTATCTTGGGTCTGGGAGACAGGCCTGAGGCGAGCGTGTCTACTAGCATACAGCCATGCTTCCTGAGTCTGGAGGACACGTTTGCCCGGGCAGTTGCAGAAACATATATGCTTGAATGTATCTCTCACTATATTTGACATATGTGCGTATTCCACCGTTATGACTTTATTTCTATATTCATAAATTAACCAATGCGTGATTCCCAATCTACCTCCACTGTGCGCAGTGCCCGTACTTAATTAATTGATGATGATGATTTAACGAGCGCTTCCGGAGGACGGATGTAATACCGTTACAACTTGATGTTATCGTGGAGTTGTTTACTTTAAGATTCTGGTTTGTTCATAATGTTTCTGACACTAAATGCCATTTTTAAACACAATCGTTAAATATGAGTATTGTGTTAAATATCAGGTTGTTATGACTAGGCCTAATGTGTGTCGATCTGTGTTGGTTTGGCATTCTTCTATTTACATAAAGGTCTTGTGTTTACAATATGCCTCTACTAAATGTACCTTCCTGTACCATAGTCTTCATGATAATAACACCCACAGCTTTTTAGGTAAAATCGTACCTGCTCTTTCAACGAAGATTTCCTGCTACCATGGTTACGACATTTAATGGTTTAAAAATGTTGTACGGCAGACATGTATGTCCGGAGCAATTACTAAATTTGTTGAAGCATATTTCTGGTATCCCCGGTCGTGATATTGCTGGAATATTGCTGAAAGCGGCGTAAAACTAAAACTCAGAACTCCTAAGTTTGACCTGTTGCATAGTTTTCATGGGGTTTTCAGATGAACAAAAATATTGACTGACCTTTGCATTTGCTTAATAGGATAGGTTACACCGGTGAGGCACTAAACTCTTATTTTTTGCGACCACCTGGTATCATCACACTTTGATATTGGTTCATAAACACATGCTTATGATTCAATATTTTAATCATAAGTAGTACTTCGATTGGACTTATGCCGACTCCGAGAAGCCTCGCTCCTGGGTCAGGCGCCGGTTACTTTTCCCCGTCTCGTTTATAGGAGCCGACCATTTTGAATGGGTAGAAATGTTTTATAACCAGAAATAACTGTTTGCTGGACATGATGGGTGTGTGAAAAGTATGTTTTGTAAATCTGTCTCTTAAACTATCTTCCTGCAAAAAAATCCAAAAAACATACACAAAAAAAAGAAAGAAAATGAAATGGTTGGCCCCTCATAGATTTCGCTATGATGCTTTTGCAAATAATAATCATCAAATTTCATTTTTGTTTACACATTTGTATACAGTTCATATATATTTTTCGAATAAATATCAAATGATACGCTTTGTAGTATGGTGTATTTTTGTTTCATCTCTTTAACCGCTGGAGGTTCCGGATAAGAATATATATATATAGTTCCCTAGCAACCGAAGCTTGTCTGCCATGGAGATTCGGGACAGGAATACAGGCCCCTAACAACCTATTTTTGTCTATCGGGGGGATTCCGGATGAGAATAAAAGTGCCTAGCAACCAATACTAGTCCGCCATATTAATTATTCCGAATATAAACATGCATAGGTCCCTACCAATGTTCATGATGCCAGTGATGTACTGGATGGTGTGGATATGCCGAGATTATAATATTATGGACCGCCATCACCCAACTGGGATTTTGCCAAGTAGCCTACTGCGTATAACAAAACACGATCTTTCTTTTCACATTATAACTCCTCACAAAATTAATGATTTTCACCTAATACTATGGTGGCTGATTCGGGCCATTGCTTTATGGTGTGGCCCAAATCAGCCACCATATAATACAATCTGTAACATTTTCATTATGTAATCAGAGGAGCATTGAAATGCGGCGGTAATTTTCCCCAACAAACGCATCTTGTAAGAAATGTCATGATAATTTTACGTAAGCTTCACTGACTTTATAAGACGAAGAATAGCGATAAATTAGTATGGGAGTGAATCCTAACTGCCTTACAGGCTAGAAAACAGTGGAATTCGGGATAAAAAGAACTAGCCCCGTGCAAGCTATGCATACCATGGTACCTCTGCAGGGCGGGACGTTGCTTACAATATCAAACATTGGTTACGGACAGGATTGGATTATAGTTTAGCTGGGAAAATACTGAGAGGCACACAGAGGTTGTTTGGTTCCGTTTCTACACATGTCTAGTTGAAAGCATACATAAAAGATGTTATAAATAAACTGATTTTGTGGAAATCTGATAGAACTGATAGGTACTGAGTGATAGTTGATATAGAACTGATATAGGTCTCGATTTACATAATTGCAAGCATCAACCGTCTCAGCAAGCCTGACCACTCTATCTCCTTTGTCGCTGAACTATGGGATGCTGAAACCCAATCCTTACCCAGACCTTCACAGAGCCTGGTACCAAGATGTATAAACGTAGATATCCCTGTGAGAACAATATCGAAACTGACCTGTGTTCAGTTTCATTGTCCCGCTATAAGGTGACAATTAGGAGCCACGAGCCCCACAAAAGAAATGTTATTCGCATGGATTGGAATGTGGCGTTCTGGCATGATTCTTAACCTGATAAGTATATGCCACATAAAAAGCAACATAAAATCTTATATATACTCAACGAAATGTTACCACTGACCCTGCGTTCGCATCCTGATTCTGTTAGATTTTGTTTCAAGTTTTGTCAACCCCAGATAGCATTCGGACGTTGGCTCAACTTTGGCAATGGATTTGCCAACATTGCCAACGTTGGGCCAACGTCCGAATGCTATCTGGGACGCTCAATTCTTGCTCTTTAGTTTCTCTTTAGTGATTAACGCCTGAGACTTTTGGGATTACCCCCAACAGTAAGCTGACACGCCTTGGTATAACGGGAATATCGTTCAAAGCGGCGCTAAATCCAATTAACTCACTCACTCACTCCATATACAACATGGTGAGATATGAATTAAAGAACTACAGTATGGAAATAATGTAATAACTACTGATTAAAATAATTATCAGAGTTCATACTTGCCCAGAGATGAACGCAGACATAAATGACACGAGTGAGTTTAGTTTTACGCCGCTTTTTTGCAATATCACGGCGAGGGACACCAGAAATGGGCTTCACACATTGTACCCATGTGGGGAATCGAACCCGGGTTTTCGGTGTTACGAGCGAACGCTTTCAGCACTAGGCTATCCCAGGGTGTGTGTGTGTGGATCAGAGCGCGCAGGGGTCCCCCCCACCCCTTTGTGCTGAAAGTTTGTTAAATGACCATTGAAACTCGGGTAAAAATGAAGTGTGCACCCCTCCTTTTCTCAATAGTGTGCACCCTTCCCCCCTTTCTCAAAAAGCTGTATCCGCCTCTGCCCACCGCCCTAAATAACATAATCTGAAAAAAATAAGGGCCGTAAAAATCAACTCACTCTGATCATGGGTGCTTTCTTATTAAACGGCCATACTCTGTTAAACTTGACAGTTTCCTTAAGAAATGTCAAGCCGTGTATACACCACGAACTACCTTGGTCACCCAGCTATGCGCAATCACTCAACATTGCCTTTACTTTAGGAGCCCGTAGCAAGGCTACACGAAAACGTAAACAATTAAGTGCGACAGTCCTTCCACATGCCCAGGCCATTTGTTTAAACCTTGAGACGTAGAGGCAATGATCAATGAATATAGCTGCTGTACACCCAACGCCATAAAGCTATCGTGTTGACTGATATGAATATACGGGCACGTGGTGTCCACATCTAGATCGAACATATACCTATCGGAACGGCGGGAACACAATCGCTGGTCCTTGTAATGGCGACGACGCGCCTGGAGGAACGAGCACACGAGTTGGTGTTTTTCGTCAATGGCAGAAAGGTAAGATTTAACAACATGCATGCATGTATGCATCAAGATCGTGTATAATATTTGCACTTACACATTATATTCCTGGCGTTGCTGTTGTTGTTGTTGCTGTTGTTGGTGGTCTTGTAAAGGTGTGTGTAGGTGTATTTTGTTTCTGCCACCAAATAATTGTACGAGTAACGTGTTGTGCACTTAAAACAGTGTTGATACACCCTATAGGCATCTTACTGCCGTGAAATCTCATTATGATATTCATCGTTGTCATGCACTGTACGTGTTTGTCTATGTTTACTTCGAATATGGCTTAATTTGCAGTTATATGTGATTATGTCATGCATCCCTGTGCCCCGTTCCTCAAATCGATCGTTGTGCTACGACTGTCGTAAGTCTATGTTAAAGTATGGGAGTTACGATCACCTTAGCGCTACGATCCCTTTGTGGAACGGCGCCCAGAGGGTTAATATTATACTGGCAATATCACTGACATTGATTGAAAAATGATTCCATTGGTATTCTTGTACATGTTTGATATTTCAGCCTCTGTCTGTAACTGATAAAGGCATTGCAACCATTTTTCAATTCTGACTGTCCCAATATAATTTCATTTCAAAGGGGCGGTGGGGTAGCCTAATGGTTAAAGCGTCCGCTCATCACCCCCGAAGACCCAGGTTTGATTCCCAACATGGGTACAAAGTGTGAAGCCTATTTTTGGTGCCCCCGCTGTGAGATTACTGGAATATTGCTAAAAGCGGTGTAAAACCATATTCACTCACTCATTTCAAATGGAAGATTTTTCAATAATGCTTTTGCCTATTTTTACCCTCAAAGTCACTTAAATCATGATAGAATACTGTGACGACAATGTATGTTTTAATCATGGATACAATTTACTTAAGAGGTGATGTTTAACATAAGGGAATGTGTAGCTAGGTTAATACACATACTAAGGCCAGTGCGCACATGGGTGGAACTAAAAGCTAAATATAATGACAGGACAACGACTGCTGTACAGAGTTTTGGTTTTGTGTGATATAAAATATACTTCGTAGCAAAAGTATGTAAGCATCTTAAGAGAAGTGCATGTGTAAGTAAAATATCTTTTTTCAAAAAGGTTTCAATACAACAATTGACACAAATATGGTGATAAGGTAGGTCTCTCTCTCTCTCTCTCTCTCTCTCTCTCTCTCTCTCTCTCTCTCTCTCTCTCTCTCTCTCTCTCTCTCTCTCTCTCTCTCTCTCTCTCTGTTCTCTTGACATCATAACAGGTGATCTGTTTTCAGATCCCAAAGAAGAATCACCAGTATATGTTTATGGTGACACAAACACACAATGTTTTATTTTCAAACCGCCTTTTGCTTGTGTGAATCTGCATCGATCTATGTTGTATTATGTCTTCTCCATGCACTGGCCGACCACTATTCAAAATTTGTTATTCTTATCAATTAATTTTGTTGATATTACCAGAACAGATGTGGTTTTACAAGGAAACAAGGAACAGAATGTGTTGTTTCTGATTCAATGCCTGATTTTCCCCTTCAGGTGACAGAGCAGAATGCCGACCCAGAAGAGACTTTGTTACACTATCTCAGGAAACAATGTATCCTTGTAACTCTGCAAGTCAGCAATATTGTTACACAGTGGAGTGTTGGCAGGGAGTTATTGCTCCATACACTCATGAAAACACTCACACAAACAGCTACTGTAACAATACAACAAAACCCAAACTATGTTGGACACTGTGAGGGGTGGAAATAACTTTAAAATTGCTAGTGTAATCCGGAACAGTGGCACATGTAAAATCACTTGCCCTGATAATTTTTCCACTATACCGACCGTTTTCTTGTTGATTTTTTAAAATAAACAACATAATTAACATTGGAAAGTCAACTGGACACCGGTACAGGGTGATATACAAATTTGCTTGCCCGACAGAAAAAAACACTGGACTCGGACGTCGGGCAATGGGTTATTTCCACCACTTTTTAGTGGGTACAGCTAGGGTTGAAATAAATACACAATGAGGCAAATGTGATACGTTTCACAAATATTAGGTGTTGAATATGAGTATTCATTTATGAATAAAAGTTAAATGTAAAGAAATTAAGAAACAGTTCTGTGATAATTGTTGTAAAGCAAAACAACAATACATCTTGACAGTGTTGCCTATAGCTTAATGGCAGTACTGTAATACAAAGTTATTTATATTTATTCCATTTTGTGTATCTCACTTTGATAAATAACTGAATTATAAGTGAAAGTTGAAACACTCTCTTAAATATTATGTAAATATTTGATTCATGTGAACATTTAATTGAATTCATGAATGGTATGGGTGAAGCCTATGTACTTAATATATGTAAAGAAATCAAGCGTTTTTTCTGTGAAAGTTTCATGAAGGACTAACTGTTGGATGCTCAACCTGGATCTGACATAGACAAGCAAATATTCCCAGTACAGCCTATGCAAGTCTACGGTAGAGTCATTTTAACATAAAGTCTTT